GGGGGGAGGGGAGGCGATATCGCTCATTCGATCCAAAATAGAGTTTCGCACCATATGTGTAAGGATGATGATCTAGGATCATCACACGCTTAGTAATATGAAACAGAACGCAACTCTCAAATGAAATCGATGTAGACTCTTCAAATAGTGACTTTGAGAAGTTCGGGAATAGTCGGTTCCAGTAGGGGGGAGAGAGGTGGACTTGCTATTGCAGAAAACGAATACTTAGGTTGATATCCGGAATTTGTCTTACTTCTGAATCTGCCCAGTTAGGCAGATAATACAAAGTTTGCTATGACCCTTCAAGTGAGCAAATGGCTCTGGTTCCAGAAGATCATGTTCCTGCAGTTCATTCATGCATTCAGTCGAACTGCAGAGTTCATTCGATCGAAATGCAAAGAATGCTTGTAAATATTTTTTCGATAGGTCAGCTGCTGACGAGCATAAAATATTGTTCAGCAGCAGCAATATTTCATGAGGTCCTGTATGACTAGATTAAAGTGGTATTCAGAGAATCTCTTCAGGAACAAACAACATCATTCAAGTAAGAAAAAAAACCCCGGCGCTACTCAGAGCTGTTATCAATTCTAAATATTTTTTATGTATTCAAAGGGCTTTGAATAAAGTTCAGTGCCATTGGGTCCTATAGAAACTACCTGGAGAGAAAAACGTGAAAGTTCTGGGTATGCTCGATCGTACATATTGCTAAAGGCATGGAAATTGAACAAGGTGGGAGTACACCCTCAAAAATGAGTGATAGATTGAGTTTAGGGCAAAAGCAATGTGTTAGTTTTTTATGTATTCAAAGGGCTTTGAATAAAGTTCAGTGCCATTGGGTCCTATAGAAACTACCTGGAGAGAAAAACGTGAAAGTTCTGGGTATGCTCGATCGTACATATTGCTAAAGGCATGGAAATCGAACAAGGTGGGAGTACACCCTCAAAAATGAGTGATAGATTGAGTTTAGGGCAAAAGCAATGTGTTAGTGAGAGTGTATGGCGTTTGAGAGTGTTGGACGAGACTCAAAAGGCTCAAACTTTTGCTTCCTGAACTATGTGTGGAGTGGTGAGTGCGCTTGCGGGCTCCCCAGATCCCTACCTTACTGGGGGCCAACCTAATACCTACCTTCCAGTCTACCCATCAAGATGTGCTAAAGATAGCTGAGAGTTGAAACAAAAAAAANAAAAAAAAGCATTTGGTTGTGAGTTAAAGTTTAAACCTGGTTACTTGACTGATGGATTGTCTTTGTACTGCTTCGATTCAAAAATCACAAGTCGATCGGCTTGGGAGGATTACTTCAGGCCTTTTACTTCCCAATAGTCATCTATGACAAAGCAAAAACCTGAGAAATGGTTCGGATAGATCAGCTCCTTTCTGAACATGCCTTCAAACTAGAGAACAGCTTTCGGGAGGCAGGTACACATTGAATAAGGTGAAGCTTTCATCCCAACAACTGAATAAAACGAACGCTCAAGCAACGATCGCTCGGTTTTTCCGTAAAAAGATGCAACGAGCGACATGTCTGGTATTAATTCAGACTTTCGCAACAGTTCAATGGTTTGGAAGATTGCCAACACAACATTACGTTCTCATCTTCACTTGCATCCAAAGAAAATAGAAGGAGTCTCAAAACGAATAGCTGGAATTTTACCTTTCCTAGGCACGACTTTGGTACAGTTCGAGTAACCCTTCGTACTTCCTCTGTTTGAGCACAGCTGAATCGCTTTTGATTGCTGATCATCTGAAAAGTTCTCGAAATTCGCATGAACCACAGGAAATTTTCTCCTCAAACATCATTAACATTAACAGAAGTATAGCCCCGGATTGGCTTCAGCACGATTAGCTTCGTCCTTCAAAGCCCTGACTTACATTTCAAGTGGCCCTTAAGAGTGGTTGTCTAATTCAAACACACAATCAATCGCCGTTACGGCTATGAATAGAAGTTGAATGTTGGACGCATCTCAAAGCGGATCTTTTCAACACCGACAACTTTATCCCTAATCTTTCATCACGATAATATTGCGGTACTTTTTTTTATTAGAACGAAAATTTTATTTTAGTAAATCAATAATTGAAAAAAATAAATCGAAAAGTTCTGGAATAGCCAGGCTATAGGTTGAGACTTCAAAGTGAAAAGAGTCATTCGCTTGATGGATGAAGCCCATTGTGTTTTGGATAGTCATTCTGTGAGAACATACCCTATCATTCATCATGAGAGGGTCCATGTTGCTCATGAAATTTTGCTTTTTATTACCAGCACCAGGAAGTTGGCGCAATAAGCTTATTTATTTTCAAATATAATGAAAAACATTGCAAATATCAAAATATTAATATTAACAATAAGAGCAAACAAAAGCATAAAACGACGTAACACATAGGAAAAACACGAGTGAAAATGAAAAAAATACTCAGAAAGAACATTTGCATGAATGAATCCATTGAGAAAAGCTCTGATCACGAAGAATCAGTCTTCCCTTCCCTATAGGATTCTCCTAGGAATGGAATTCGAATCGGATAGCTTTTTTGCTACTGTATAAATACTCCTCTTACTCTTACAGTTTCGGTCGGAAGATTTTACTCTTTTCTCAACCCGTTGGAGATAAGCTTCATGTAAAATAACGTACTGAAAGGTAACGCGAAGTAAAGATTGCCACTTTCTGATACATAATGGTAGATCGATGTGAAGAAATGACAGTGCGGGGTTATTCTTCGTTCACCAGAAATCCATGATTGCATAGTTTGAAGGTTTGACCAGTAAGAAATATTTGAAACTAACACACATCTGTTTTCGATAGACCAAAAAAAGGCTGGTTGGCTGAAACTGATCAGCTACATGGAGGCTGAAATCTCAAAGCCATTTTCTCTTCTACTGGATGAATTCGTATGAAAACTTGAAGTGATATTGATTGTTCAGAGGTATAGAATAATAGTCTGGTTTTGAAAAGATTATCAAATAACCTTTATATTAATATTACCTAAAATCTACCATAAATCATAAAGCAAAGTAATATATGATACAATGCGATAAAATGATGCGAGTAATAATAGTGCAGAGCTCACAAGGGAGGAAAAGCTGTTCGTACATAAAGTGAGGGAAAAACTGTTTTGGTCTTGTTAATCTTGAGAGAATCAGTTGAGTACTACTAAGTGTTTTCAGATATTGAAGACATTTTGAGTACGAAATGGGCTCCCGTTTCTTGTTAGGAGGGAAAGAGAATAGAATGAAGAATGAAAGACGAATTTCTTATCGTCGGTCACACGCAGTACTCTCAAGTCACTCACGTAGTCGGTTGGAGTAGGATCTGGCCTCGACAGTAGAGAGTCGAAGGAGAAACGGATTTTCGAGCCGAGCGATGTTCCAGACTGTGCTGAAGTGGGACGGGAGAATCTGAAAAAAAGAACATGACAAGTAGGCATCATTACATGGCAATATATCCTTCTCGTCAGTACCATCAGGAATGTGGGAATGTGTCAGAAATAATAGGGCTTTGGAGCTTTTTTTCTTGTTTATCAGCTGTTGTTGAAGAGGAATGTGCTACCAGATAGAGATGGGGAATGAGGGAAGGCTTACGTGGTCATGCTAATCGTTCCCCTGGAATTGAAAGTTTGAGCCCTCTAGGGCTTGAAGTTTCTCAAACTTTTGCAATAGATATAAGGTGCCAAAGCTCCAGCTCCATCACAGTCCTTTCATTGGTGCAATGTTGACGAAGAGTTCAACTGGATAACGTCAGTCAAGCGGTGGTGTGAAACCCGAAACGATTTTTTGGCTGCTTTTGCAAGCATCCCATGTTTCCCAGAGCTGATCGGGATCAAGTTGTTGGTTGGGGTAGAGAAATGGATTGGCCCCCAGTGGCTCCCACGAATCACAAGTACTTGATTGCTCTGGGATTATAAGTCCGAGGAAAGCATCTAACGTTTACTTCACAGATCAATTAATACTCCTTTTTTCATTCGATATCGAGACGTGCTACAAGCAACAAAGAATGATGAAAGGGATCGAAGCATAAATCTTCGGAACAAAAAAAACCTAATGTCTATTCCCCTGCTTCCACAACACCTCGACAACTGCGAAGGTGTTTTGTCAATGTAGGGTTGAGCTAAGAATTTGAGCGTTCCTTTGTGGGGGCACAGCTTTGTCCAGGTTCCCGATGTTTCA